AAAGTTTTTACGATTGTTCTTCTGGTTTAGAAATGTCATGACAACTGGAGGCGGCATACTATAGTATTTTGTGTCTGCATCCCTGAGGTGTCCATCTCCCTTTTTTTCATATTCCTCTCATCGCTCTTTGTTCTTTCCTCGGCTTCAGACAATCATATTGCTCAGTGATCACTTTAGGTTTGAATCATGGTGGGATGATGTTGCTCATGGATGCTTATACAAGATTTGAAATGACAGATAAGAGCACCAAAACTGTTCTCCGACTGGCACCCAAGTGCAACATCATCCCAAATGTCTTCACCCATTTAGACCCCATAGTGTCTCTGATCAGCCCCATGTGTAATGTGAGCTTACGAGATGCCGTAGTTGTTGTAGTAGGCCGCCGTTGCGTCTGCGAGAACTGAAATGAGGCTGGATTCTGTGGAGCTGCTGGGAGGGGCAGAACCAGCACTGGGAGACGTCAGCTGGATGTGTCCTGTAACAGTCAGGCTGCTGCTCTGCTCGGGGTGGAACCCGGGCCCATTGGAGTTCAGGTACTGGTCAAACTCATCGCGGTCCACCTCACCCAGGAGCTCGGACTGGCTCAGCTGGTCCAGAGACTCCAGGTGACCCTGGGTCTCTGGTGGGGGGGACAGCTGACCCAGGTGTCCCTGGTGGAGCCCGTGGTGGATATGGTGGAAAGATGAGCTACTGTAGTAAGACAGCGGGGGGACGGGGATCAGTCCCCCACCACCTTGGGACATGAGAGAGATGTGACCCATGTGTGCGCCCCCACAGTGGATCTGGCTCTGAGAATAGTCAGTGTGGTACGGGGGCGGGCTGCCCATGTGTGTCTGACTCTGGTGGTGGTCGTCTGGGCAGGAGGAAGAGGAACTACCAGATGTGGAATAATAAGAGGGGGGGACATGCTCGTGGTCCATGGCATCTAAGGGGGACATCTCAGGGGGGGTGGGCAGGCCGTAGGGGTAGGTGTCAAAGCTACTGCTGGAGGGGGCCGGGTCTCTGAAGCTTCTGACGCCGGGCAGCGGGCTGGGGCCGGAGAAGCCGCTCCTGAGGCTGCCCTCGTCTTTGTCCAGGGGGTGACAGAGGACCCTCTGCTCGGGCAGGGCGTTCTGATCTGGGGCCAGCCCGCTCAGCAGGAAGCCGGGGTCCACCCGCTTGCAGATGCGTTTCAGCTGTTTCTTCCTGCGAGGCCGATACTTGTAGTTAGGGTAGTCCTGCATGTGCTGCACCCGGAGCCTCTCTGCCTCCTCCACATAGGGCCTCTTATCAGGGGGGGTCAGGGCCTTCCAGGACTTGCCTGCAAGAGGAAAACACAGATTTAATTTAATTTATTTGAACTGCAAATCTTGAATGAGTTTGTAATTCAGTGTTGCACTTGTCTGTTAATTGTTTAAAGTCTGTTCTAACACAATGATAAATTACAGAATACATTTTCTAAGACACACAATTTCTACAAATTGTAAAAAACCCATAAATAAGTTTTGTGTGTATGTTTGAATAAATGTTTACACTTATACTCCCTTTTTGGATAATAAAGATACGACAATCCTATTTATAATGGTGGAATTGCAACAAGATTGTCAACATTAAACATAGGTACAATAGCACTATAAAACAGGCATTCAATTAATAATAAGATTAGACTTTACTTTACTTTCAAAGGAAGACTCATAATTGCTATATTCATTTTTCATTCACTCGTAAAAGTAAAGAAAAATCATCTATTAACTTCTACTGAAAAGCTAATAATCAGCTTATTTTACTTTAAGTTATTAATTGTTTATAAAAGGGAAATAGTGCCCTTTTTTAGGATGAACACAAGTCCCTATTTTACCCTTATTTATGAAAGCATATTTTAGATGTTTTGCCGTTCTGGAATTGGCTTTAACCTGATCTCCGATTTGCCAGATTTTGAATTTGGCACTAAATACTAATCCACTACCAGCGTAAATCCAACGCAGAATCATATATTTTCTTTACTAAGTCCATAGTCTTAACGAATGTTACGGTTTAACGGGGATATTCACTTTGAGCAACGCGCTTCATAATGTCTGAAGTTACGTAATTAATTAATTTGGTCTGACAACTAAGATTAAACACGTTGCTTTGTTGTCTTTTCTTTTTAAAACACATTTACCGATAACTGTCTGTTTTTTCAGATTCTAATGTAGGCTACTTATCATTTTTGTGTTGGAAACAACTCTAAAACTTTAGGAAAAACCTCTGAGGCCTGAGGGCAATTATAAGTGTGAGGACCGTAAAAAATAGCAGTAATAATATTGACAATAATAATAGGCTATGCAAATATTACTGCTCACTTAACAAATAAAGTTGTTAATTAACAAAACTTTAAATAACTTTTTCTCACCCAACATTTTGCTGAGCTCGGCATTGTGCAGGTCTGGGTTTTGAACCGCCAGTCTCTTGCGCTCGTCTTTGGCCCAGACCATGAACGCGTTCATGGGCCGTCTGATGCGCGGCTCCGGCGCCTTGTCCGCGGGGGTCCTTTGCGGGCCGTGTCCGTCAGACGCGTCCCCGTCTCCTGGAGGACACTCGAAGGACTCCGGCCACGACGAGTACGCGCTGATGAGGGCTGCCATGTGCGCACTCTCCTGTCCAAACTTAGGATGCGCTTCTCACTCTCTCTCTCTCTGATAAGTTTTCTTCTCTGTGGAGGTTGACTAAAGGCTGATTAAAAAAACTACAGAAACTGCTTTTATAAAATCCAGCGGTGTTTAACACTGCCTGAATCACTAGAGCTACAGGCGACAGTCAGAAGTCAGGACAGGTTTGTGGAGATATGCTCAGCTGCGGCTCCTCCTCGTGAGTTATGATTCAGTCTTTCCTGGTGGATGGGGGAGCGCTTTATATTTGAGGAGCAGGTTCCAGGAGAAGCCCCCGAGGACTCTCGGCTCCTCCTTGATTGCAAGTTGAGCCCCGTGAAAAGGGAAAAGAGAGAGAGCAGCATTTCAACACCATTTACTACTTAAACTGGCCTCACAACAAAACAACACTTTCCACTGACAGAGAGCGAGAACTCAGTCACTGTGCAGGTTTATTTGATACAATTATGTTGGGTACACTTCATAAAGGACCAGGGTGAGTCAAAATGGAACAACTGAAATAATTGTTACCTAGAAAACGAATTCCTTATTCTACATACACTTCATGTTGCTGTAGGAATTTGGCAACATTGTTTTTTTTGCTTTCCAACAAGGTTACCCTCACCTGACAAACTGATCTAACCTGTCTTGCTCAACGAGTAATACTTGAAAACTGCACTGGATACAAGTGTTTATAGATTTCCACTCCTAAGCATTAAGGGTGTCATGGTCCTGGGAAACAAAACTTTTTATTTTTAAGTTTTTATAATGTGCTGCATCTTTGAATATATTTGAAACTCCTAAGGATCGATATTATACTATTTTAAAATGACTGTACTGAGTTCTCTTTGATAGTTTGGATGCAGATCAATGTGGAACCTGCGAGGAGATGAAACCAGTGAACACTACAAACAAATCAGTTTCCTTCTGTGGCCAGAGGCTCATATCAAATCCATGAGTTCCTGTTGACAGGATACTCTTGGGCTGCAGCCATGTAGAAGCTCACACTTTTACACACAAGGGCACACACACACTGCTGGAACACAGCTACTGATCACAGGTCAGATAGTATTTTGGTTTGTAATATTTATGGGGGAGGGAGTAACCTGATAACAGCTACTGGTTTAACGTTTTTCCCCTCCTAACCTCCAATCCAATCTTAAGTTGCAGTACACATATTTTGCTCCGTTGTGATTCCCTGACCATCAAACTTAAGTGTCAGCTCTAGCTGTGTGTGAACCTTGCCCCCCCCCCCCCCCCCCTCACAGGAAGAGGATACGGCACCTGAAGCCACAGATAGTGCATAGGGCAGGCACATCAGTGATATATAGAGCCATGTTGCTCTGACATGGGCCACATTGAAGTGAAGTCAGTGTGAGTAAAAGTCACAGCAGAACAAGTGTGAGAAAACAGGAGTGAGCAAGTCTGATTGACAAAGTTAGAGTTTCATATATTTGCAATTTGGAATGAAGCACATGAAAGCTCTGAGTGGTGGGTTTCTGAAATGACTAATAGCTTTATGTATGTGTGGGTGGGAGCTGCATCAGCCTGCTGTTGTTTACCCTTTCAGAGTAAAAGACATGTGGCTACTGAAGACTTGGCGAGGGGGTTTGTCTTGATGCATGTGCTGCATAAAGAATTGTCACTATGGTAACTTAAATCAAGCATCCAGTTTTAAAATAAATTCCAGTGTTTAACGTTGTTAGGCCAAACCTTTATCACTTTTATGTTTCTGCGTCATATATAATCTGCTGTATTAAAACCTCAATCTACGGTTTTAATTTAATTTCAAAATAAAAGTGAGCTGCAACATTACGTGGAAATGTCAGTAAATGTGGTGTAACACATTAACACGGTTGTGACGTTTAAAGGGAAAGGGACATGTCATTCTTTCTTCACATTAAACATGATAGCAACATGAGAGCCAAATGAATGTGAAAACAATTTATATTTGGGTAAAATAACTGCTTGTAATAAACTATCAAGTCTCATGACTCTACAGTAAATGTTGACGTAATGGAAAAAACCACTTGCACACCTGAGACGCTTACAGTAATAGTCGGGATGTTGACGAGGAATGCTGTATTCACGTGTAAAGCTGGACATTTGTAGTTTCCTTTTTCCTCCTTTGACTCATACCACCCACTCATTTCTGAACAAGTCTGGCTTGTTGAGAGTTCGTCATTCTAGTCAAAGACAAATATTTCCTAGGTTCATTAATCATATTCCGAAGTTGTGAAAGCCATATCTATGTTTGGAGGTCTAACCTGTGAACGTTCATGATCAGCTCATATAGGGTACTCACTGCACGACTATTTCTCCTCACCACTCTCCTGTTCCCTTATAAATTCATTTCACACCATCTATGAAGGAAAACACAACTCAAATCAAACATACATTGCTATTTGTATTTATTTAAAAAGTGATGTGATCCTGTCGAAGGGCTAACGTTTGTCTTTTTTCTTACAGCTCATGAATGGGTCAGACCAACATCAACATCATATTTGTCAAATCACATGAAGGAAAACAATTACGTCGGTGTGCTTCTGTTCAAATGTACAAATGTGACTGTCTCTGTGTCGCTTTCATTTAAGAACATATCCATTGTCTGAAGAAATGGCATAAGATGGTTAAAAGTAATTGCCGGCAAGAAAATGTAATTCACTGTGAATGCTAAATAGATAATGCAGATGCTTATTAATGGTGAGACAAAGGAATTTGAAAAAAAATGAAGAAAATAATTGCATATACAGTTTTCAAAAAACATAAAAATAACCATATTTTCCTGAATATTTTGTTGTCTTTATGGAATTTATTAATCTGGATATTAATACATTCCAGATTGTATTCATTACAACAATTGCCGGCATGCATTTAATTGTTTTCCAAATTTGACTCATTTAAAAAGTATGTCAGAATATGTCTGTATGAATACATTATAGACTTAGCAGAGTCAGTCAGATGTACAGAAAGGGAGTTTTTAAATACATTAAAGGAATAGTAATTTGATTCTTGCAGAGTGTTCGATAAATTCATCGTTACAGGTCTTGCATCTGTCGGTTAAATACAAAGCTACAGCCTGTAACTGGTTTATGATGATCATGTTCACGATGATACAGCAACTTGAGTACTCGGTCCCCCAGAAGCCTAAAGGACTGTTGAATCAAATCTACCTCCAACTTCATTTCCTCCTATTCTTGATGTTTCCTTTTCTTTTTCTTGTCCTTTTTAGATTTCTTCTCTACCACCTCCACCTTGTCTTCATCGTCCACCTCCTCCAAGTGTTTCTTCTTTTTGCCAACAGCCTCAGAGTCTACACTTTGATCCTCAGTTGGCTCATGTCCATTTTGAAGCTCAGTTTCCCTATGCTGTTTTTTATGCTTCTTCTTCTTCTTGGATGGAGGCAGTTCCTCGGAGTTCTGCTCAACACCGGAGGTTGAGCTACAGTTCTCATTTGTAGCTTCTTCACTTTCTACCACTTTTCTCTTCTTCTTTTTCCCTGAACTCTCCTGCTGCTGGTCCTCATCGTCCACCGTTACGACGGGAACGGGGGTACTGTTCTCTTCTACCACTTCTAGATCATCGTTTGACTTTTTGCTCTTCTTCTTCTTCTTCTTCTTCTTCTTTTTGGGTTCTTCTGAGTCGTCAGTGGGGATGAGGATGGGTTCCTCAGATTGACCTGAAGTCTCGTCTGTCTCCATCGATGGTTCTTCACTCTCGGCCTGTCCACGAGACTTCTTCAACTGAGCCATTCGCTGAGCAAAGTACTCCTGCATAGTGAGAGCACTTTTCACAGTGTTGGTGATGGTCTCTGTATCCAGTTTGAGCGCCGCAGGAGTAACATTCTTCTCAGTCTCACCCTGAGAATCGCTGCTGTTGCTCTCCTAGACCAAAAACACACATGAGAAGACAGGGTTAGGATTTAATGCAGAATTGAAACAATCAACACAGAAATAGACGGACAATGGTGGACCGAGGAGCTTAAGTGATCGTCAATCATCACGCACAGATTAACCAGACAGATTTTCTTGAGTGAAAAGAGTCCAAATAGGATGTTGAGGCAACAATAGGTGTTAAAGGATCATCTTAAAATAAGCATCCCTGGACATAATTATCACACAGTTGACATTTATCATCATCATCTTCTTCCAACACAATGTAGCTCCACACATCCAGCTGTGCTCCTTAACTGCCATCTCCACGTCTAACCACAAACACACCTTAAATATACTAAACCATTGTGACACTACAGAACATCAAATATAAAGAATATATTTCTCTTTTCATTCATTTTACAGGGTTTAGAAATATTTACATATATATTCAATTCATTATAGTAGATTGTCACACAAGTACTCGGGCATACTTCTACTTATCTTCTCTCGGTTAACACACATTCTCTATTTCATTAGACAGTTTATACTTTGATCATCGAGTGCTTTAGGGAAATGTAATATGTTTTTAAAGCTAAACTGCAAAAACACTTATTTTTATATTTGTGCACTTAGTAGCTATGGTGTTTTAATTTGTGTTGATGAAACTCAAAAAAGGTGTTGATATACTTTATCAAAAGGAACAAAAAAAGTATGACTTCTTTGGCATTCTGCTTGTAATAGATGGTGACACTATTAGACAGGAAATGCAGGGATGTCCTAAAACAAGGAGTAAAGAGCCAAACTCATTCACTAGTTGAGTAAACTGTCTCCAATCTGGGGGACATGAGTTATTACGACACTATTAAACAGGGACTACTTTACAACTATGAGGTACAACGCAGACTACATTTTAACTCTACAGCAGGAACAATTTGTCACCTCACCCCTGCGACCCATTTGTCTTCATTTTCCTAATGGCCTACTCAATGCATAATGATTGGTCCAGAAGAATACAGGAGCTCCTCCTGAGAGTCGCTCTAAACAATGCTGCCGCTCAGAGTATTGCCTCAGAGATGGCATTATTCAAACCCTACAGATTAGAGATGAATTGAATATGCAGTGCTGTGTAGAGTCACCTCATGGTGCGGCCTTTAAGCTTTTACATTCAGATTACATTACTTTGGCCCTTAACACAGATTGAGGTAGACAAGCTAACTGATGGGCTGGTAGAACAATGTGGATGCAGATCCAAACTGTTCTTTTGGGACTTACTGTGAATAGACTGAAATGCAGAGTGAAGTTACTACATTGGTTACTAACCAGGGCTTCTTGTCCCCCCTCAATGGGGGTGTCCCAGGACTTGTCTGCTTTTAGGTTGTCCATATTAGATTTTGAAAAAAAATACATAAAACCATATAAATATGTGTATAAAACGTTTTAAAACATATCTTTCCTCACTCCAAAATGGACTACTTAGTAGACAACACCTCTTTGACCCATGCTCTCAAGCTAGCAGCTCACCCTCCATTTTCCTGCAGTTGGAAAATTCATATTTAATGAATGAAACAATATGTCCAAGGGTTGATGACTCATCACTATCTATCTACTATAAAAAAGAAAGTAAGGCTGCTTTATCTCATTAGTTGCCTTAACTTTGGTTCAATTGAAAGACAGGACAAAATGTGTCATTTGTGGCACGCAACTGGCTAATGACAGCGTGAAGCCAAGCGAAACATAACACCAGCAGGAAACAAAGCACATCATTGGTAAAGGTTAGGAATTTTTGGAGAGGAAAATTCATTTGGCACATTCAAAGAAGATCCACAGACAAAGGGTGAGGGCGTCCTGAAATATGTCTGCGCTTATCTAAGATGTGGACCACTGTGTTGCTACATATGCACCAGGTTTCCACGCATTACACATCGGTATGTCTTGGGTTACAAAATGTGCCAAACTAGCCACTGGGGACTTAAGCAAAACCCTAAAGCAATGTGTCTTTACTACCTAAAAGGCTCTACAGTATATTATACATTTCCATGAGGGAATCAACCATTGTTTATTTGGTCTAATATATTGATTATTATGGTAAGAAATGATTGTCCTGCAAATATACCCTTGGTTCAATACTTGTGAAGGGCTATACATTATGCATGTCAAAATCAAGATTTGACCAGGTATAAAAATACAATATAATAATTCATCTTAAAAGTAGTGATTCCAGAGCCTCACATTAATAAAGCACAAGATTGAGGCTTAATGAAAAGCCAGGTGTTCAAATGGACCACAAAGTTTTCCGCCACCTCAGTCCTCCACTAGAAAGAACCCCAACTTCTAACAAGGGGGGGAGAAGCCCTTCAGGTGAGGTGCTATTAAACAAAACTTTCCAACTTCCCAGAGAAAATCTATACTCCCCGTTACTGCACAATGGCATCCTCTCTGCTTGGGAGAGTGGAGATGGGGCTTAGAGCTGACAGCGCCAAACAACATGTAACAGGGATTTGGGAAGATGGCTGGGGGCCACTTTAGAACTGCCTGTGAAATTACTCTCAAGAGAGGGTGAATGAGCGAGGGGGAGAACGAGAGGAGAGTGACTGAGAGAGAAACATCTCCTTCATCAGGGGAAGGGGCTGGAATGTGGTCCGTCCTCACTACCTGGGGTCTCCATTAGACCCTGATCCGGCAGGACACACATATGTACAGTGTGGATGTGAAGCTGCTGATCCAGACAGCACTACTGACAGCCCTGGAGATCTTTGTTGGCGAGTGTTAAGGGCAACATGTTACCAAGAAACAACTCTGCTGTAATGTTGGAGATCTTATTTCCAGGTGTGTGTGTGTGTGTGTGTGTGTGTGTGTGTGTGTGTGTGTGTCTTTCTATGGCCTGGTATTATCAGTCACCATTTCTGTGTCATATATCAGTACAGCAGGCATGAGACAAAATGCTGAGATTAAAATAAATGTTATCACTGCAGGAACATTGTTAGTTATTGATTTGTTGATTTGATTTGTTTCCTGATAAAAATGAAAATTACGTTTTCTGCTTAGTATTAATACATAAAACAATAGCATGTTCTTAAGCAATTTTCTACTCAAGTATGTTGGACGTATTCATTCATAAAGATACAAAGAAATGGGCACTAAAATACATTACTGAATTGAGTATTGTTTTAAGCAGCTTCATATAGTTTGAGGTTTGCAGTCCATTTCTGAATGTTCAGTATGTCAGTCACTTGTTTACGTTTTGAACTGATAAGGTGAAGCCCTGGAAACAAAAGATGAACCCTTCAAAAGAAAGTGCAGTTAAGTGAGGGTAAGTCAAATGTGTTTATACCATAAGATGCTAATGCTACAGTGATTTATTTGTTTTCTCTTATATTGCTGAGACTTAAGAGAAATGTAACATACCTCATTAACTACTTTAATTATAGACTTCCTTTTGAAGAACAATGTTTATTTTCTTTAATAGTACATTTACTTTAAAAATGTGATCAAATCAACACCTACTGCAAGAGAAGGGACACCACTAATTTACAGTTTTACAAAAATCATTTTTTGCGAAAACCATAGAAAAATGATCGAAAGAAAAAGGCAGTCCCAAGCTGCAACACAGTGGGGTTGGAGAACACACCTATATCCAGCCGTGTTTACTCCTCCTCCACCTCCTCCACCTCCTCCTCCTCCCGGGCCCAGAAACCAGGAAAAGGATGCGCTCAGTGCACTGTGTGCAGTTCTGAGATAAGGCTCCTTCGGCAGAGGAGCGGTCTGGCTGGCTATCGGGCCCTTCCTGCTCCCCTCTCTCCCCTGGCGGGGGCTGGGGCTGGGCAGGGAACACAGGGAGGGCCCGCAGAGGGTCCCAGAGAAAAGGAGAGGGTGGGAAGACATTCAACAGGCCGCCTCCTTCAAGACACTCCAGTCCTATCTCTCTCTGCTAATGTAGCCGATGGAAAGCCAACCGAAGACATGTGCCAAGGAGCCAGAACACTGAGGCCAACACATTCAGGAGAGTCAAACAAGCCAGCAGAGGGATGGTGGAAGAGGTTCACTGCAGAGGATGGGAAACTTTTCCCCAACTAAGTCGGAAGCTTTATGCATACTTATTTTAGTATACAAGACTCCAGGGTCAATACTTTTAGGATTGTCTGTTTTAAGCTCTTCATCCCAATACACACCCTATAATAATAAGTCAAATTATTTGTAATGTTTCCCCAACACTGCTCAGCTTCAGACGGCATCATGAAGTCCAAGAATTTGTATGTGCTTCATATTTTATTTGCCCTACTAAGGGGTTACAAGTGGGCGTCTTATGGCTCGACATTAATTACTTGCTAGTTACTGCTTCTCAAAGAGTTTATTATTTTCTCCGTTTCAAATCACATTATGGTTGCGTAAACTGTTAATTTTCTGTTGGACAAAATTAGGGATCAGAAGACATACATTTAACTCATGTTTGTCATTTGTCATAACCGTTTACATTCGGATAGATACATTTTTGAAGCTGTTCTCAAGTCAAACCAGTGAACATGGTAGCTAACTACATGGGTGTTAACTGGGACATCTAGCTCTGCCTGCAGTGGGGTTTTCAAGCAAAGCCCAACAGGCCGAGGTACATGAAGCGTTACTTTGTTAGTTCAACGTTTAAGTGAAAAGTATGTCGAATAAGTAATAAACATCTTGCAAATTACCCAGCCATATTAAAACAAGGAGATCTGGTAGCGGTATAAGACTTAAAAATAATATTGATAAGAAAATGAAACCCAAAAGGATGGTTGAAAAGGTCACTTGTATTACATTTATCAAAAAGTTACGTAAACGGATGAAGACGTCTTACAGCTTTTTTGAAAATGGTATAAATTCACATTCTGGCTCACATGTTAATTAGCATTTGACAGAGCTGCAGTTGCCCATTTATTTTCTTTAAGAATTGCCTGTATGCATTATTTGCTGGGGTTTTTTCTCCAATAATTTCCAGCCAATATCGGTTGTGTCTGTAATTGCATGAGTGTGCCCTC